TCACGGACCTCCTTCAGGTTTCCCCCGCTGTTCTGGTTGCCTGGATCTCCCCGGTGCTGCTCGGACCCTCTCTGGCTTCAGCTCTCTGGTCACCTGGACGATCGCCTTCTCCTCCTCCTGGCCAGCTTTAAGTCCAACCCGCCTTCTCCCCGGTTCGGCTTTCCCCGCTCTGAGGTAAGCGTTCGTCCAGCTGAACATTCCTCTCTGCTCCGTCCCTGGTTAACCGCCCTTCTCATTCCCCTAGATGTTCCTTGGTTCCGGCTCCCTGTGCTGAGCTTCTGTCTGCGGTTGCAGAATCCCCTTTCGTTCTGTTTTTTCCAATAAAACCCTCAAAGATCTGCCTGTTTCCGAGTGTGTTCAGCATGTGGGCCAAACATGACACCAATAGAACAAGATAATTTACATTTAAAATAAGAAAAACAAAAACAATTGCTTTGTCTTATTTTAAGTGCATCTTACCTAATTATCTCATTTTAGGAGTAAAATTATTAATTCCATTGTCAAATAATCTAATTTATCTGCTAAAATGAAGGGTAAATACACTGAATTTAAGAAATGTTTTACTTGTTTCTATATATTTTTTGCAGTGTAGACCAACCCAAAGTGGTGAATACTTTTAGTTTCTGTGTTAATTGTCTGTAGAACTGCCTTTCAATGTATTAACAGTAGCAAGTCTGTTGTGCTAAAATCAGATTTTCTCTGTCCTTCTTTGTAAAAATAATACATTTTCAGTGGGATTGGACCTGGACTTAGCATAGGCTGTATACTGTGATCTAAACCAGTCATCCCCAAATCCAGTGATTTAGACCTCCTTATTCACAGTAATGCACTTTGTGTTGGTCTAACACAGAAATAAAGTGTTTTCAGGTTTATGGTTGACAAACTGTGAAACTGTTCAAAAGACTTTGTAAGGTTAAATTAAGCTTTTTGTCTAATAGTTTGTGGCATATCTATGGGAAAGTCTGACATTAAATAGTGAACCAAAGAGGTAGATAAAGATGTGAGGCATTAAACCCCATGCTTATCTTGACAACCAGGTTGAATCATAATGCTACAAAACTGGATCGTTGTCAGTTGCTGCACATTCTTTAGCAACAGTTTGACTTCAACTGCCATGCAAATCAACAGGTTTGCATCTGTTTGAGATAGCGAAGCCTTCCATTTGTCCACTGACTGAGCTACACAAACAAGCAGGGGCTTGTTCATTTCTTCCATAAACCTCAGCCGCCCCAATAGCATGAGGCTTTTTTTTTTTTTGCAGAAAGTCGTCGCTCATTGTTAGGGCCCCAGCCCCCAGCACCAGCTGATCCCAATGTCTCCATCTTCATGCATGACTGTGATTGTGATGAAGCTCTGGTGGTGGGGGGGTGGTGTGCGGCAGATGGCAGGGCTGCCCCCGTCATGTCTGCTTTTTGGGGAGAACAATGCTTCTCTCAGAGCTCTTATTAAAGAAAGGACGGGGATTTGAGTCTACGGACAGCTGGCAGGCAGCATGCCTCGCACCCCTCTCTCCCACAGTGTTCACACACTCTGCAATTAACTGGCACGGGCCATGGCTTAAATATTTACCAGACCAAGGCAAACAAAAAGCTTCTCAAGAAAATTAAAAACATTAATCCATGATATTTGGAATAATCATTAGTGCTTCAGGTTATAATGGGACCAGTCACCTAGTTTGTTGATGATTTGTGTGCCTCACAGCAGAGCAGCTTCAATCATTTAGGACATGGGATTTTTTTTAACATAATTAATAATTAAATCAAATGAGACAGTTATTAACCACAAACATACTTTACAGAGCACCCTTTGCTGTGCTAAAGCTTTATTTACAATTCTACCATAGATTAATAAAGCAAAAATACTCAATGCATGACAGCACCAGGATTTTAATATTTTATTCAACAAAACCAAAACTAGACTGGTGTCTACATCAGATTTGATAATTTCATCTAAAATATATTTTTAAACTAATTCAATCTTGACATATTCAGTGAAGTCTGATATCAGTTCTAGGGAGGTTCCCAGGGAACATGGTGGGAAAAAAAACATTACAGGAGTGAAAAAAAATCATTTGAAAAAAATGAAAAATCATTATAAAACAATATATATCTATTTATTTGCCTTATTTTTAGTAAGTTTTGAGTTATCCTGAGTGCCTGTTGACCTGAGCACTGCAATTGGCGACTAAAGCCTCTTTCCCACTGAAAATACCGGGTTAACAAGTTTGTTTTCGACCCACTAACAATCAGCATTTGGCTCCCTTCCGAATGATGAAAAAAACCTGGGTCTAACCCTCGCTGGGAATAACCCTACCTTTCTGAGGATAACGCAAAACATTCTCAAAATAACCAAAAAACCTTCTCATCATAACACAAAGCTCTGTCAGAATAGACCAAAACTTTCAAAGATAATGCAAAAACCTGCTCAGGATAACGCAGACCATTCCAAGGATAGATTACTTTAAACTTTCTAGTTTAAGGTATTGTGGAGGATTTTTTGCGACTTTTTTTAAAAGACCCGCCCTATCCACTTAAAAAAAAAATGCACATGCACAATCCCGCACCCGCTCCCAAGAGGGAACGCCTATTAAACGTGCACGCTCTGCTTAAAAGTTGCTGTTCTCAGCTCATACAAGCTTACTGTGTCTAAACGTCTACCCTGAATCCCTAAATCCTTCAACCACTATATAGAGCGACTTTAAAGCGAAGTTACTTAACTCACCTTTTAGACAGATGATCACTACTTGTTTCTCCCCTTTGGTCACATAATTCCGCCTCCACCGCACAAAGCCTGCGCCATCATGGCCGCTGTGACAGCAAACCCCATAAAGCTTTCTGTGCAAAGCATTCTGGGATATATCTGCCTCTTCTGAGGCCTTTCTTATCTTCTCATAGTCTTCGTAAACACTTTTTCTCTTATGACCCTCGGCCATTTTCAAAGAACCGCGATGAGAAAGGTGAGTATTAATGACTGGCTGAAACCGAAGCTCACCGCATAAAAACGCCTGAAAGTGGACCTGTGCAGAAAAAGATAGCTAACAGGGCAAGCATGTAGGACAGCCTTATGTAAACATATCACCAGAATGATTGACAGTTAGGAAGACCACTTATTTAGATGATCCACCCGGAAAAAGAAAATCCTCCACTATACCCATAAAACATTCGTAGGAGAATGTAAAACTTTTTCAGGATAATACAAAAGCTTTTATGGATAACGGGAAACTTTCTCAGAACACCATATAACTTTCTCGGGATAACACAAAAACTCAGGATAGGGCAAAAGCTTCTTTGTATAAAGCAAAATATATATAATTTTTTTCTCAACCTTTTTCTAACGTGTTCCCTGTGAGAATCCAGACAATTATGATCTTAGATTTAAAATAAACCATGGTATAATACAGTAAACCCAATATGTTTCTTATTGTTTTATAAAGTATGAATGAAATGCAAGGAATGCCCATTTACCACTCCCACATTTTAACGGTATTTGTGCTTCTATTTTTTTTACTCCACTCTAGAAATTCTCATGAATCATATTTCCTTGTAGCATATTGCATTCCTAAAATGTTTCTGTTAAAAAGGTCCTTTTTCCAAGAAATATAATTCTAATGTTTTATGAAATACTTGTTCCCCTGTAAAAAAAGAAAAAGAAACCTGTTGCTGTGTTGTTTTTGTAAGGATAGCTCTATAGGGATTTAAAATTTCTTAAAACTGAAAAAAAAAATAAAAAAAAATAAAACATAGTCTCTTTACATGACACAGGCACTGTGAGGCAGCTGAGGGGCTGTTCCACTGAATCCGTTTGACCCCCCCAGTCCCCGCCCCCCCCTTACATGCCTCCCTCCCTCCCCCCTCTCCCCCCATGCTCCTGCTTTTGATTCCACAGGGACTCGCAGCTTTAACATTCCACTCATTCCAGGCAGGCGCAGCAGAACAATCGCCTCTCAGTTATTTATCCGCGCGGCTCGCAGCTTCACGCGCTCAGTTTGCTGCTGCCCAGTCAGCTCGCGCGCACATGTCCAAGAGCTCTGGAAAACTGTAGTTGGACATTTTCTCTACAGCTATAGACACAGGATAAATATTTAGAGATAGAGAGGTGGAATGAACCGAGGTAAGCTGCTTTTATTTATTGTTTGTAGTTTTTGCTTCCTCTTTTTTTTAAAGGTGTGAATTAGTAATGAACAGACTCCCCGAATGGCGCAATAACGTGGTAATATCCTGGTAAAACACCTATGATGCTTTACTGACGTCTAATCTTTTCACCTTTATTATAGAGTGATAACCTAGACACGTCTATATGAGACGGGTTTTTCAGGAGTTCATTTTTTTTTAAATATTGTGATTAGTATTTTGGTGTCATATGTGTGTATGCAAGGGTTCTAAAATGCAGTTTTAGTTTTTTTCTTTTTTTACCCAACATATAAACACCTAATTAAATGGATATTTAACTGTTATAATGATGAAACTTTAACTGTAATAGTAATGTTTGTGTTTCTTTTCTCCACTTCCTCTCAAATGTTCTTCCTTTTCCATCTAAAAAACAAATAATTACTTATTTGTTTGCTTTAACGGTTGTTTGTAATGTGTTATTAGTGTACTGTGGAAAGAAATAAAACCCAAATTAACTTCTGACTTTAATAAAATGCGATTTTATTTTCAGAAGTTATTCTGTATCACCACTTATTGAGAGTAACTGCTGTTCTGATCCACATCTGGAGCAGTTCACTCATTAAATATGATGGATCAAACGAAAACTAAAGTCAGATTCCTGTTAAAATGTATTTTTTACTGTTAGATAACCACACCTTTTCACAGGAGAAAGGAGATTATAGTATACTGTTAAGAATGAGTTATTATTGAAGGTGTGAGTTCTTAAAATCTCACGGAAACTATGGGAGAGATGATTATGGTCAATACTTGCTGGTTCATGACTGATCAAATTGTTTGTTTGTTTTTTTCCCTCTTAGATCTCTAATTATTATCTTCCAAATCAAACCCATTTTTTGGACTGATTCCCTATTGACTGAAATGAGGACAGCTGAGGACTCCTCTGGAACAGTTTTGCACCGCCTCATCCAGGAGCAGCTCCGCTTTGGGAACCTGACAGACATTCGCACTCTTCTGGCTATCCAGCAGCAGGCCCTGCGTGGAGGAAGCAGTGGCGGGGGTGCGGGCAGTCCCCGCTCCTCTTTGGAAAGCCTCACACAGGAGGAAACCCAGTATATGCAGATGTCTGCTCGGCAGGAGCCTCAAGGTCAGGAGCACCAAGGTGACTGCCTGCCCTCAGAGAGCCCCATGTGTCATCTGTATCAGCTCCACAGAGAGGAGCTGCCAACCTATGAGGAGGCCAAAGCGCACTCGCAGTACCTGATCTCTCAGAGGGAAAAATCGGATCAGAACGGGCCCACCGTGGGATTTCAAAGTGAGGGACAGTGGGATCTGAAGCGGGAGCATGCTCGCTCGCTGAGCGAGAGGCTGATGCAGCTCTCACTGGAGAGAAACGGACACAGAGACGCTCTGGCCCTGACCTCTTCACACAGCTATCCGCAGCTTCATAATAATGTTGTGTTAAACGCTTCAGTGCCGGAAACACAACAGAGTTCAGACCACCGTGGACCCCCTCCAGGCTACCCTCTATTTGCCAATGTTCCTGAATACATGCTCAGCTACTCACAAGAGCATGTACAGTACCACAAAGACCCTCCTCCTCCGTTCTACTCACAGAACCACAGGTAATACACACCAGGTCCGATAATCCAAGACAATCCCATCACAATTACTGTTCAGTAAAATCGAACCAAGCAGAAAAATCTCCAGACAAAGCGTTATTTCATCATATGTCTGTGGTTTCCCAGGTGTGTTGTGGTGAATCACTCATGTCTGCCCTTTGCAGGAATGTGTCTGCTCAGGCCAAGGTGGCTCAGACCAGCATCGGCGCATCCTCCGACGGCAATGACGTGTTAATACGGGAGAACGAGCAGCTCAGGAAGGAGCTGCAGGTGTACATTCAGAAGGCTGCCAGGCTGCAAAAGGTGAGCGAGAAAACCCCAACGTTACTTTCCTCTAACTCCTGTATGTTGCCACAGAAACGCATTCAGTTTCTACATAAGCTGGTCTGTCGATTGAGGCTGCTTCAATCAGAAGAAGTTATAAAAACCAAACAGATGTGATGCCCTGACTTGCTGATTAAGATTTATTTTTAAGGACTTTAATTAACATAAAAAAAAAGCTATTATTGGACGGTCATATTTTCTCTAAATAAGGCGCTGAGGCATGGCCCCAGCAGGTGTAGCTCTAAGAACGATACGTTTCCTCCAATTGGATGCTATCTTAGCTTTGATGTAAGCAGGCCTGGATGATTGATTGATTGATTAATTCAATTTTCTTGTTTTTTGGAAAATTGAAATTTTTGTTTTCACTAATCTTCTTGGGCATCTATAGCTAAGAGTGACATCAGTTCATCCCTCTTAGTTCTTAGATGTGTACTTATAACTGATAAACTAGCTGATTGTGTAGCACTACTAGCTACAAACATTTAGTTTGTCATATTTGTGTTGTTGTGAAATATTGTTTTACAAGCTGCTTGACTTTTGTTGCTCTAAAAATTAAGGGATTGGAAAAAAAGTTAGTTTCTGAAGGTAATGGATGTAATTTATCATTTTTATTATGAAATTTGAGGGAGAAAAAAATCTATTTATCAGATGTGGTTGAAAAAAAATTGGAGATTAAATTCTAAGCCATGTTGCCCAAAAAAGTCCAGAGAGAATACAGACCCTTACCTAAGCTTGGAGATAAAAAAAAAAAAAAAAAGAGAGATATTAACAAATCCAGGATGTTCCATAGTTAAAAGACAGTTTGCATTCCTGGTTTCTGCTTAAAACAGCTCCAGCTTAATTAGTGTGTTCCCCAGTCTGATAATGCATCTCTAGGGCATGCATTGAATGACTTCCTGTGGCAGCAACTTCTTTAGTTTTTTATTTTATCCAAACAAGCGACAGGTCAGGTAAAATACAAAGAACCCACTCTTACCAAAGCTTACTGCAGCCGCTCAGAAGACATCTTTTATATTGAGAGTTTCTCTTCCGCTTACTGAACACAGGAGCTGGTAAAAGTAATGTTTCTGTCTGGTTACACTGGAGAGATTTTTGTAATTGTTCACATTGTTAAGGAACTATTAAGTGCTTTCTCACCATTCCAGACTTGGGAATGCCTTCAAAGCATCTAATTTCTTTTGTCTTGTAAAACACAACATACCGGTGCTTAACCTGGAGATCCATAGGTGCTCATTCAGGAATTTTACCTCTCTTTTTCAGTTGCGCATATTGTCTGAGGCTATCTCTCTGTAAAAACCCATTCACAAGAGTACTTGTTAGCCTCTTGGTGACATAAATCTGCATCTAGACAATGAAAACAAGGGTCTGATCATCTTGCATTTCCTCCCCCAGTTGGAGCTCGAGATCCAATGGATATCCGAGGCCTACGAGACCCTGATGAGAGGCTCCGCTAAGCGGGAAACCTTGGAGAAAACTCTAAGGAACAAACTGGAGGCAGAGATTAAGAGGATGCATGATTTCAACAGAGATCTCAGAGGTATTTGATACCTTTATATATAAAAAAGAAATGTTTACAAGCTGTTTGATGTGGTATTTATGCGTAACCGATGTGATTTGATTGTCCTATCAGATCAACTTGAGGCAGCTAACAAACACAGAGCAGCCGGCGACGCTGAGCGCACAGACCCAAGGCAGCACGTCTTTGTTAAACTCTTGGAGCAAAGTGAGTAAACGTCAGCATCAGTCTTGTTGATCCTTTCACACATTTTGTCGAAGACAGACTGATGTTATTTGTCAAAAAGAACCTCCCTGACTTATTTAACAATAGCAGGGGCATAGCTGAGCAGGGACTGGTGTCATCTTCATTAGTCACTGAGGGTTTATTTGTCGAAACTTCAGTAAAGGTGACATGAGTTCGTGAACTTCATGGTATTTCTTGTAGTTTTAACCTCGTCCCCAATCACCACAATTTGTTCTTGCATCATTTTAACTTCCTTTCTCTAAGGGAGCTTATAGGTCTGGGACTCCAGGGCATCCTGACCTAACTCGGCATGGCCCCTGGCTTGCACCCTCTCCTTCTTTGGGCATCTTATTACCCCATGTTATAATGATGGTCAGTCAGCTGTGAATATGTTATCTGTCTCTGTCTAGGCTGCAGATGAAACATATGCATCTTGTTTCAGTTGACATTATTCCTTTTTCCGGTTGTTAAAAGGAAATCTAGGTTCATTTTAGATCTTAGGTGAGGTTCAGTTTTAATCTGAACTGTAGGTAATAACAATCTCAGAGTATTAATATGGGTTAAATCAAGATACTTTGGTCTAAAAGACTGAAGTTAATGGTCAGTCATATAGGAGCTAAGGACAAAGTGGATATGGACCTATTTGACAGCTTATTTGTAAAGTTTGTAATCAGTAAGAGGTGTTTTCTTTTTTTTTTCTTTTACAAGCCTTGATAATTTATCTAGGAAATAGATGTTGAAGGTGTGCAGTTATAATCATGTCACTGTATCAAACATTTACTGAGAGCAGAACAAATAATCAATATTAGAATTTTAGGAGAATGTTATTTTAAGGATATTTTTGACTGATTATTTTTATTTATAAATCAGATGCCCCCATTTCCTGTATAAATAACCACTGACCTCTCTGGGACTAGTTGTTAGCATTAGTCTGCTGTAAACACATGGTGATTCAGGAGTTGCCTACTGAAAGTAAGATATTAAATGCTTACCATGATTCAACATAACTTTCTATAAAAATGTGGTTATTCCTTTAAGGATTTTCTAGAATATTGTTAGCAGCCGCCTTGCTGACCAATTTTAACCTTTGACAGTTTTATGTTTTGCTTCTGAAATGTCATCATAGTGCCCACGGCCACACGGGCTAAAACCACAAATAAAAACACAGTCGTGGGAGGCGTCGTCCTTGTATATTTCTTGAACAAGAACTGATTGAGGAATATTTTGAGCTGCTTGTTTACTTCACGTCCTTAGAGGCATTCCATAGCTTTTGCCAGTACAAAGCTATGCTTGTGTGCGTAATTGGATAAGAGGAAGTCTGCATTCCCTCCACAGGCATGCACTGGTGTTGTGTAATCAGCCCCCTTTTTTAAAGTGGCACAGGGGAGCCATAAAACTTGCTCTCCTTTCTGAAATACCAATTAAAATGTGAAGTAGCTTTAGGATTGATAAGAAAAAAGCTTTGACTGGGCCCTAGATGTAGAAGTTGGCATTTTTTATAAAGAGAAAATGTTGCCCAAACCCTTTTTTCTAACATCACCTTTTTTCTTTTTAATCCCTTTTTGTCTCAGATGAAGAGCAGCAGCGGGAGCGCGAAAGGCTGGAGAGGCAGATCCAGCATCTGCGTGTGTCTAGTGAAGAGTGTCAGCGGAGGGCCGAAGTGCTGGAGCAGGCCCTGGCCTCGGCACAGAGCCGCAACCGGCACCTGGAAGAAGAGCTGCACCGGAAGACAGCTTACATGAAGAAAGTGGAGCGGTTGCAGAGCGCCCTTGCCCAGCTACAGGCTGCTTGTGAGAAGAGGGAGGTCCTGGAGCTGCGGCTTCGCACTCGGCTGGAGCAGGAGCTGAAGAGCCTCAGGGCACAGCAGGTTAGAGAACAAAGTCATTGAAATCAAAGGAAAACATAAATAATATATATATATATATATCGCCGGTAGTGTGTTGGAGGTGGGAGGGTAAAGTTGCCCACTTGGGAGCCAAAGCACATGTCAAAGTGCCCAATTGGGTGCCAAAATATGTGCCAAAGTGCCCTCTTGGGTGCCAAAGCATATGCTAGATTGCCCTCATGCTAATGTGAACCTTCGGGGGCCGAAGCATGGTCTAAGTTGTCTTTGCAAGAACCAAAACACATGCTACACTTCCCTCACGGGAGCCAAAAATTGTGTTAAAGTGCCTTCCTGGGGGCTCTCCAAAAAAAAGAAAAAAAAGAAAGAAAATTAAAAACAATCCACTGGAGTCTGTTTCCAAGTTTGAAGACATTTCGCTTCCTTTCTTGGTGGCCAAAACCCCTGCTTAAAAGCCGTCTACAGTTATGAGGAGGTGCTATATGTGCCCTTTTCTTTTTTTTTGCCCAAGCACATAAAAAAAGTCTGTGCACGGCACTGTATTTTGGTGTAATGATTAGTTAATCAGTGTATCACGTCTTTTCTTTCTGTGCCAGAACCAGACAGCCAACCTCACCCTATCAGAGCTGAACTCGTCCACGCTGCAGCAGGAGCTGAGGGAAAAAGAGGAGCGTATCCTGGCTCTGGAGGCAGACATCACTAAATGGGAGCAGAAGTACCTAGAGGAGAGCACCATGAGGCAGTTTGCCATGGATGCAGCAGCTACGGCTGCAGCACAGAGGTATGATGAGTCCAGAGGAATCTTTGGATCTTATTTATCATCAAATGTTGTATAAAGTCAACTAGAATGTCTATTTATCACTTCCAGGGATACAACAATTATCAATCATTCACCTAAGAACTCCCCTAACAGCAGTTTTAATGAAGACCTGCCTCTAACAAGCCACAAACACCAGGAGATGGAGAACAGGTACCCGCTTTTTTCTTTTTGTCTTGGTTGACTTTGTTTGCTGTTTTTTTTTTTTTATTCTTCATCCCTGTTGCTGTTTGTTGTGTGTTAAAGGATCCGCGAACTTCACGCTCAGCTGCTGGAGAAGGATGCTGTGATTAAAGTCCTCCAGCAGCGCTCCAGATGGGAGCAGGGCAGGCTGGAGACACAGGGGCTTCGTCCAGCCAGATCCGTCCCCACCATCAGCACCGTGACGTGCAGCGCTTTGAGTAAAGGTGAGGGGATTTTTGAGAGAACGGTGAATGTTCAATATCACACAACCTCGTCTGACAACAGCTGGGAGCAGACATGATGTATGCAAGTAAAAATAAAAATAAAAACCAAGAGAAGCGAGGCGACCCAAATAACCACGACCAAAGGAGACATGTTTTAGTACTGGAATGCATATCGTCTCTCACTCCAGAATAGCCAGATCAGGAATAGTCATGGGAAGAACTCGCAGGGGCAGATGTTTAGGGGTGTGTAATTGTGGATGAGCTCGGGTAATTAAACAGCGTCTGCTCTTTGTCTGCTTTTTTTTTTAAAGGAAAGAGCCTCTCGGATGACCAGACAGGTGCTGCTTCGTTGAAAACCCCGTCCTTTGTCACAGCCAAGGCGCCGACCCAAGACTCCAGCACCCAGAGTGATGAGACCACGCAGGACCTGGAGGTCATAGCAGAACAGGACAAGTTTCAGGAGACTGAAGGGATTTCAGCAGCTACTAGGGGTGAGTTTTTCTAGTTGCTGGTATAAGATAATATTTATAATCTCTAACTGCCATTCAGGCTCAAATGTCTGCACCCCTCTTAGGCTACTGGGTAAAAAGTTTAAATTAGATTTAAGGTTTCCAAAAAGGTGATAAAACAAATTAATGAAGTAGCTAAAGAGACAATAATTGGTTATAGTTTTTAGTTTTGTTTCTTTCTTTCTAATCTCTTATTAAACATTAATTAAAAATGTATTTTGGATGAGAAAATTTAACTCGGGTTATAAACCTGAATAACGTACTGCCTGAGAATTTAGACTTTATGCTCAATTCTTCAGTTGAAAAGATTTTCCCAGCTAATGAGAATAAGTTTAAGATAATTTTCAACAATTATTTAATGGTTTATACCCATATGGGTCCATTGTGAGCTGAGTTATTTATCCAGAGATCTGTCTAAGATCTAAATTAGCTGCCCTGTTGGATTTACCAATTAAAGTTCCAAAAAAAATCTCAATGTTGAGCCAAGAACCGCTAAGCTTCCATCTAGCCTGAGCAAAACCCTCCTGGGGCCCACGTACCTTGTTCTACTTAGCAGGAAGAAGGCTAATGCTTTTCTGAGTGAACAAACTGCGAGTACCATTAACATCCAGCATCATGTAATGTGCTTAACCTGTGGAAGAGGTGCAGTGAAGACATTGCTTCATTCTAACTCTTCCATTTTCTGTTTGTTTTAGGCGCCTCGGAGGAGCCGAAGGCTCTGCTCAAGATGTTCAAAAGTTCCGATGCAGAGGCAATTGAGATTCTCATATGAGCCATGACTGCTGCTTTTAAGACTGAACCGTGAAAGAAACATTTTCCGGAGGAGAAAAAGGTTTCGGTCGATCTGAGATATAAACAGGAGAGCGTGGATCTGGGATTGCGAGGAGAGCGGAGCTTTCCTTTGGCTGTCTCTGCACATTTCAAAAGCGATGGAAGGGTCGGGGGGGGGGGTTTACTTCAAGGTACCTGGACAGTATTTTGCAGTGCAAAAGGAAGTTGGCTGCTGAAACTGTATGTTTTTCATTTGTTGTGAATTGTATTTATATTCGTAAATGCTGCTCCTTTTTTCTCCATGTGTTGTATAGATGTTTAGGTAAACATTTTTTTGTGTGTGTCTCATTTAGTTTTATTTTTCCCTATTCTGTTTGTTTTTCTTAATATCTTGATCCCGCTCTCTACTAGAAATATCTATTTATACATATGCACAGAAAAAGACTGCCCTCTATTTAAAAAGGCCATTCTGGATAAAACAGCTCCACCCTAAATTCGCCGTTGCCCTGTCTCTCCTTTATATGCGCTCCCGCTCGAAGCTCAGTGGAGGATTTAGAAACTTCCCTTGAATGCAGAGCTCGCGAGCCGACCGATTATTTTCTCTCCTTAAAAAAGCTGGGCGAGGATTGACAACGTTTCACTGGGGTCCAATTTTCCAGATCCCCCGGTTCGTGTTTGAGGCCTCAGATGGCGGCTGCCCAGCATTTCGCTCCCATCCGATGACATGCTGGAGCTAATCTTCTCACATTCCTCACTGAGGGAATGCTCCAGTTAAAGAAAAAGGCTATCTAAAGTCTGACCTCTCGGCCTTGTTAAAATGGCACACATTCTTTTGTATGCATGCTTCTCTTGGGCCATTTATTTCTCCCCAGCACTGGGTAGCTGGTTCTACCAGACGGGAAGAGGATTTCAACTATAATTGTCCTACATTTGCTGTCTCCATCACTGTGTTATATTCAGCCATGTTTTTAACATGCTTCCCATATCAGAGTTTCCTTTATACTTAATAAGGAATCTTCTATTTATTTCTCCTGCTTCGCATAGGATTACTGAACACTGTTGAAATGCAGACTACTGTTTCCAAGGACTTTGTATTTTGTATATAACTGGAATGGGACATGATTCACTCTAAGGTTTAGTGCTAAAAGCCACTAAAAATCCAGCTCAAAGTGTTTATCACATGAAGCTCATATGCCATCGTCTATTGATGCTTATTGTTTGAACACCATTCCTTAAAAGTATATTCTGAAGGGCACAGAAAGCATAAAAAACTCACATCTGTTATGTCTTTCATCGTGGTGCATTTGCAGGTCAACACCACGTCTCGTTTTGTGATGTATACTGTCTTCTTATTTTGGGATGTTGTTTACATGAATGACGATTTGAAGTGAGAAAAGTTAATATATTTAGTCTGTTTTTCGTATCCTCCTATATCTATATGTATATCTATCTGATAGATATCGATATCTACATGTGATTGTTTTGTGTCTTGGTGCCAAAGATGTATTCTGTGTTTAAGTTATAACTGATGGAAAAAAAACAAAGGGCTTAGTAAAGTGCCTTGCTTCAGCTGGTTGAACAGATTTGATGTTGCTGTGAATTTTTGTAGAGGAAACATGGGGATGTCTGCCTTAACATTTCGCAATAATAAATAAAAAACCCTAATATATGTCTGATTAAAAACAAAGTTTTTGGCTTGTGTTTTTTCTACTCATGAAAAATCTAAACAATAAATAGATACATTAGATTTGAATCTTTAATGTCTTCCCAGAGTTCTGCTCAGAAATGTAGTATATTTGTCAAATCAAATTAAGGCTTTTAATGATGCGTTTGATTTGTTTCTTCTTGAGGTTGGTTTTATGAATAGCCAATAAAATGTTTAAAAATGTTTGCGCAAGTTTGAGTTTAAGATGAATTTTGAAAGTTCAATATAAATCATGAAATTAAAAATATAAAACTCCATTTGGGGGCGTTCAGGTGATGCAATGGTTGGTGCATACGACCCATATACAGAGGCCTTAGTCCTCGATGCAGAGTCAACAAGTCATCTCCATGCCTTGTATTTGTTCTACCCAGCCACTGAAGCAGGTGAGTCCAATCTTCACCGTGAATTAACCTGTGCAGATTGGACTCACCTGGTTAATTGGCTGGGTAGATTAAATACATGACATGGAGATGACTTGTTGACTCCACATTGCCCATGTCTGTCGGGTTCAAATCCAACCTGTGGTCCTTTCCCGCATGTCTCTCCCCCTTTCCTGTCAGCCTACTGTCAGAAAAACAACCCACTAGTGCCGTACCTCCACTCTGATAGATACCATTAGCAGGTTGCATAGAAACCAAGCTCTGTCCGATAATGATTTATCCATCTAGCTGTTAGTCCAAGATGAATTGGTGGTACGATGCCATTCAAACACCTTAGTCCCTTACAGATTGATATTGTTATTTTTTAGGCCATTAAACCCATTTTAAACAGACAAGTAAGCTGTTTTTGACTGATTGTTTCTTTAACTAGAGTCAGATTCTTATACAGACCAATTAGCAACACCAGACCTCACAATACTGACTCTGCATTTGACTTTTGCCAAATCTCTTTTTTACTGGCCAGTTCTGAACACCTTAACTAAACTAAGTGATGCTTTATATGTTCTCTTGTCTTTTCTCTGAAGCTCTGGATTAGTGGATTAGTTATTGATGGGCTCTTAAGATATCAGTAGATCCATCCATCTCCTCCTGCAAACCCGTCAGGGTGACAGTTGGGCTGGTGCCTTTATCCAGCCATCTATGGGCGAAAGGCATGTATGCATGGCATGTATTAAGGGCAATTTAGAGACACCAATTCAACCTTACGTCATGCTTTTGGGAGGAAGCTACACACAATGCAAATTCCATGCAGAAAGACACTTGGTTGGGAATCAAACCCAGGACCATCTTGCTCCAAGGCAACTCTTCTTCAAATTGCTCCAACATGCAGCCCCGGCTCTCCTGGCTTTTCACATGAATGAATATAAATAGGATTAATTGAGTAATGTTTAATCATTGGTTAACCACAATAAGAATGCCTCTAAAATTCTTCCTGTTTGGAGGTTAATGGTTTGGTTTTTAAACTGTATTTTAACTCCTTCAGATCAGAGTTGTCTTTGGGTGTCTTTTGGCCTACTTCAAGCTGTCAGAAAGGTTCTGATTCGGTTATTTCTTTAATCAACGAGTCTGGCAATAATTAAACCTATAACAGAGCATGGTTAATCTTATCATGACTGACTGGGCAGGCCTTTTTTTCCATAAATAAACCATAATTTTTGTAACTATTTGCCTTTACCTCATCTGATATCAAGCTTGATGATATCAAATATTTCAGTCTGACAAGAAGAAGAAAAAACTTTTTCATGGAAATAATGCCCACCATTACTCAACAACATTGTTTGATGGTTGGGACAGTGTCCTTACTTTGAAAAGAGAAGTGTTAACTGCTTTAAACATCAAGTAACTGTAGACTAAAATGTCCATCTTTGTCCATCGGAACAGGTTCCCATTTCTTATTCTACACAGCATCATGTTGGCGTTTCGCACCTTGTTACTTTCACCGTTAACTTTGCTTCAGTTTATGACAGACAGCTGATTGTTGTGGAATGTCCCCATCGTCTTGGTATCTGTCGACAGAAGGGACGTCATAAACAGACAGTGAAGAATTTAACAGCCAGGGGGAATGACATCCCCCTAAAATTAGAGCAGTCTATTTCCACTATGAAATTCCCTTAACGATGGGCATATTTTAGGTGTCATGTGCCTTTAAAATTATCCATGCCCTTAAGCACAGCCTAACAAACGACACTGTGCTTTTTTTTTTTTCCATTAAAGGGGTCGTTCATCTGCAATTAGATGAGCTCTGCTTAGAAGATTGTCTCCGATACATGGGGCAGCTGTTCATTCTTAGACTCCCTAAGATTGGACACTACAGGACCAAAAAAACCCAAATAACATTGTCCATATTATAGGTGCTATCAGTTGCTTTAGTGCAACTTTTCAGTGCTCTTTCTTATTGTGTATTTAGGGCCATACATGTGGTTTAATGATAAGATGGCTTTTAGATCTGCGCTGGCGTGTGGCTTGTGTCCGTTCCATTGTCCTCATTAGTCCTCTGATAAGCTCTGTAGCAGAAAACCGCAGGGTTGGTGTTTGGTGGCCTGTGTCAGGCTGTTTAAGGTGATTCCTTTTTCTTTTTTTTCTTTTTTTTACAGGACCTGGTCTAAATTAAATGGCTGCAGAATTTGAAGACATGCTAGAGAATTATTTGGTTGCAGTGTCTCCGAGGACGGCAACAACCCACCTCTGGTGTAAAATAAAATTACTTTGGAACAGGGTGGGGGGAACTATTTGAGAGATGAAATCACCCAGTCCAGTTATTTCGTAGCATTTGTGGAAAATGAGGTCAGAAGATCCCTGAACGACAATCCCTTGATCAACCCTATAGAATAGGAGGGGCACAATCTTTACTTAAAGGGCGCAGACAAGAGTTAAATTCACACTTAACGTGAGCAACACAACTTGAACAAATTATTTGATTTTATTCTTATGTAAAGGCACGATCAGGAGCAGATTAATGGACGACGGATACATTTTGATTGATTGGCTGGTACACCTTTGATTATATATGATAGACATTTGGCTTATTTTCAATGATTAGTCCTGTTTCTCTCCTAGACATAGTTTTGGACTCAGCTTTTCCTATGGCTAGGAATATGTGCTCCCTGTCATCCATTTTGGCATTAAAACAAGCCAAGAACTTGTCTGCTTAACTGTTTATTTCCTAGACAAAGCCATGGAGCTAGTTTACCGTTACATTTTCTAACATCTTTGTTCCTTTTGTACTTTTGTCTCATGGAACTGCCAGTTGGCCTCACCAGATGGTAACCATGCTGAGCCTGGTTCATGTTGAAGTCTCTTCTGATTTTTCTTTCCACTGTTACCGCATGCATGCATAGTTTGAGGGATCGCTGTTGAGTCACAAGCTCCTCCAGGAAGAGCAAATCCTGCAAAGACATCGACTTGATGCATGTTTTCCTTAGAAAACGTTTTAACCAATCTGACTGGATGATCTGATCAAATTATCTTCCAATGACATGTGTATTGAATTGGCACTATACAAATAAACTACATTGATTTTAATTAATGCCAACAGAGTGAACTAAGTAAATAGAGTAAAACTATGAATAGAACCAAGCATAGAGAAATTTCACTGCAGTTCAAAAATCTAACCTTTTCCTTCAATTTTCGTTGTGTTAACCATTCAGGGACTGGATGTGCTTGTGATATAGGATGAACTTTCCTAGCCTGACGTGGTCCTACTCAATTCTAGTCAGAATATGAGTCTGATACTGCTCCACAGAGCTGTGATTATGGGCCGGATTTATCAAGATCCAATTTTGCGTGCAGTAATTTGCGCTCGCAAACTGGAATTTTGCGCGAGGGGCTGAACCATGGTTTGCGGGTGATTTAACAAGAGTGATTGCGTAACTGGTGGCAGGTGGAGACGCCCTATTTAAATGATGGTTTTGCACGTTTTGTGGTTTGCGGCAAAGTAGTTTGTAGTCTCTACAAACTAGTGCATTATATATATATATATATATATATATATATATATATATATATATATATATATATATATATATATATATATATATATATATATATATAAAGAAAAAACTTTGGCAACCTTTATTCCCTAAGGTGGTATGTGGTTGAATTTCTACTTCACTGCAGTAAAAAAAAACAAAAAAAAAAAAAAAAACAGGTGTTTTGTATTGGCCTGTAAAATGCACGTATGCATCCCCGCAGCATTGGCATGTTGCACCACAGGCGCAGGGGGAGAACCCCGACCCCGTCGGACAGCACTTCGGACAGCACTTCTGAAAAACGAGATTGGGAGATCCCAGCTCTCGCTGCAACCGTACGCTGGAATGACCCAGATGCAAAAAAATGCAATGTTGCAAGGAGTTTTGTGATATCTGGTATTACGTGGGTCCTCCTTGTGGCTGGCTCCAAATCCATTCGGAGTTCCCCCAGCAGCTCCAAAATGGCAATGCTGGATAAACGATGTTTTGATGATCGTTTCCTCCTTCATTGCAAAAATATTCACACGGAGTGAAAAAATGCATTCTCTGCGTCTCCTTGCTTCAATTTATGTCTTCTTCTTGCGACAATAACCGCTGCCATGTGTGCGCAATTACGCATACAGACCATTTGCACCTTCCTTTGAAACGTGTTAAATATAGAGTCAGATACCGTTAGAAAAATTGCTTTCAGGTTTGATAAATCACTTTGCGAGTGCTAAATTAATATATTTACATGCTCCCACAAGACGCACTTTTGCGTGTAAACGCCCCATATTGCATATTCATTGCAGAAAAAGTACTACCATATTTTCACGACCATAAGGCGCACCGTACTAAAAGGCGCACTCTCAGTTATGTGTCCCATTTCTGTATTTAACACACACATAAGGCGCACCGGACTATAGGGCGCGTTTTTTATATACAGGTACATGTCCTCTACTACCTTTAAATACCTCTACTGCGTATTTAAAAATACAGCGGGGGCATAACTGAGTATGACTGTGCTTTATTCATGTATTTATTACAAAGTATTAATCAAACCTTGCAGCTGGCCGTGAGACAGAGACATCGCAGA